ACAGACCGTTTGAGAAATAAAAAGGGATAGTATCGTTGAGAAAATTTCACGACGTTGTTTTTGACGTTACAATCTTATTAAGAGTACTCTGTTGTGACAAAAACTTTGAATTTGTAATAAAGTAAAATGAGTTCCGTTAAATAAATAAGAATAAAACTTCGAACGTCGATAAAATAAATGTTTTGACATGTGAAAATGTGCTGATCTTAAATTTTGTACAAAGACATGATGAAGAGAATTGAAATAGCAGAAAACTATAGAGGTTCTGTGAGCACTGAAAAAAATGAAACCCCGCTCCCATATGAGTAAAATGACAAATTCCATTTTTGCTATGGAAAGCCAAAATATCTGTCCGATCAAAAAATAAAGTACGATGTGCACTATGTTATTAAGATTCTGTGGAAGTTTCATTAAATTGTGCCCCCGAAATATGTGTCAGATGACAAAAGTGAAAAAGGAGATGACTATGGATGATGTAATAAAGATTATGTGAAAAATTCAATAAATTTTATTCAGTGGTATAGGAGGAGCTACGGATTAGACATTGGTACCCCCAATTTTAAGGAAAGAATGGCATTGTCCATGTTTTGATATAAGAAAGTTTAAATATGTGTCCGATTCCGATCAAAAAAGAAAAAAGGAGGTTACAATGACCCAATGTCATAAAGATTCTGCAAAATGACACATTAAATTTTATTCAGTGGTTTTATTTTTGTTTGTATGTTGTTTAACGTCCCTCTCGAGAATTTTCACTCATATGGAGACGCCACCACTTGCCGATGGAGAGCTGCAAATTTTGTCCTATACTCGGCACTTTACGACCATTGAGCAGTGAGGGATTCTTCGTGCCAGCACCTACTGCGACACGGGACCTCGGTTTATACGGTCTCATCCGAGGGACCGGTCTCCACGTCCCACAGTGGGATTCAAACCCGCGACGTAAGGATCAACACCTTACTTAGCGACTCTAGAGCAGACACTCTAACCACTGCGCCACGTGGACGACTATTCAGTGATAAAGAGGAGTTGCGGATAAGTACCCCAAAGCGTAACAGACGGAGGGACAGATGGACGGACGGACTCCCCCTTACTACGCATCCTCCACGCTTTTCAAGCAGGGGATATCAATATAAGTACTTATTATCATCAACAACACCACCACAATATCCGTATTATCAAACTTTCAACAATGAGCCCGGCTTAAAGAAAATTCCTAAATTGGACCGATCTTTGATATTAGTAGATATATTGGCTTCGGTTTATCAATATAATTTGGGAGTAACAACATGAATGCTTATGCATAATTATACCGTTTTTTCTTTGGAAATCCTTACTTTACTTGGTTATTATTTTCCAATAAATGCTCTCGGTGAAGAGAAATATAATAATAATAGGGGTTTTCCCTTAAATTTCTAATGAATGTTAACTTCCGATCAATGTCAAAGGTTTCTGATGCAGTAGACTGAGATCGAAAAGGAGTTATTATTTGTGCATGTGATGTGCCTTATTCATTGCACTGTCTCTAATGTTAGACCCCGAAAGACTGATCGTAGAATGAATACGGTGACAGGGAAGTAATTTCATTTAATTTCTGTAAAAGAAAACAAGTTGATGTGATACTCCTGTAAAAAAAAAACATGATGGTGGCGATGTGTACCTTATGAATTATTGGTTGGACAAGGTAAAATATAACGTCAGATGCTTGTGCATTTACTTTGTAAAGTAAAATGAGGTCAAGTTTGAGGGTTTTCCATAAAGCTCAAGTAAATATGATATGAAAATGCTAATGTTTCAGTTATGTAAACAGTTCCATTCATTCTATAGATTTCCTCCCCATAAATTGCTCCCATTGAATAACGTGCTTGTGTTTAGCATTCAAGTTTTGATCCCAAAAATATAATCTAAACACTTCCTTGTTCTGTCCTAGTTCATGTAGCAGCCTGACTCATCCAAAATTCCATTTATGTTAGAGAATGTCTTACTTTAACTTTTGATATTTTTAACAGTATCTTTTATTGAATTATACATGTACGTAAAAAGGTTTTTAAACTAGCAGTTTGCATCTATGATTGTTTATAACTAAATGCATTTTCTTTCATTTCCAATTTAGTACCAGATTATATCGGCTCTCACAAATATGACCTTTTCTGACACACAAACAGCACAATAAAACAGCAGGCAGATGGGTCTTAACAGTCGCCTGGGAAGCAATAGGAACTGTAACTGTTGTACAATGTACCTTCAGTATATTATAAGTACAGAACATGAAGTGATTTTCAGAGGGAATTTACTCTATAGATTTTTGCTATCTCTAGATGATGCGAATCATAAATACTAAATCAGTGATATTCTTTAGGGGGGAAATTTACCCCGTAAAATCTTGCTATCAGAAAGATGGTTGTTTTTGCTTTAAAGTACTGTATATAAACTGTATCAATGTCAAATTAAGATGGACTTAACCTTTGAAGTTCTGCTATTTTCAAAGTGTAATGTTCGCTTTTCTCTATGAGTAGTGAATACTGTATACGTGATACTCTCGGGGTGGGGGGATTTAATTACTCCGTAAAATCTTGCTATCAGAAAGAGGTTAAGTTTGTCTTTGTTGCGAATAATATATACTGTAACAGTGATTTTCCTTGAGGGGAAATTTATCCCGTAGAGCAATATTATCATGATGTAAAGTTTCCCTTTTTGTAAATATGTATTGTCAGCATTTCCTCTACATGTTTACATTTCATTTTGTTTGTGACGCAAGATCATCTTTTTATTGGAAAAATGCTGAATTTTCACAATCTTACCAATAAATATCTTATAAAACTTAGCTTTCTGTTAGATTTTGTCAATACCCGAGGGCAAAATGCTTAAAACAGAAAAAAAAGATTTTCTGTCTTGATTTTGACTGTGTTTTAAGAAAAAAGTGTGAGGGGGCGGGCTTCCTGATGTTATGAGATAACCTGTGTGAAAATATACTTTATTCATTTTAAATGCTTTTTTTTTCAGTTAAATGTTTGTAGAAAATATCGTAACCACTAAGCAATTGTTCTGCAAGAATATGGGTAAAACCTTAGTGTTCCTAAATTAAAGTTGCCACATCTAAGGACTCCTTGAAAAAATTAATTTACATATTAGATTGATCAAGGATTTTAAAATGTATTTAGAAGTGAAATTTTATTAAGGAAAAAGTTGTAAGATCCTTGGCCAGGTACCACTTTGTTGAATTATGACCGAGTGATCAGTCAATCTCATCATTTTATTAGGCATCATCTCTTCAGAATGATTCTGGTTTACGAATGTTAAGTTCTGTATATTATAAAATAAACACGGTATAGCTGATTTTTCAGAAACACAGGTTTATATCATCTGATGTGTTAGGAGATTTCTAACTAAACTAAATAAGGTATATTTACATGATAAGTTTCTCACTCTCCTTGTTTTCAAATGTTGCCTCCACACAATTAGTTGAAGTCGTTCGTAACGTAATGTGTGATTACTTATATTACATCCTTTACTGATAACGTGACTCATATATTATCAAATGAAAATATTATGTACAAGCTATCAGCCAACAGCCAACAACTTGTAGAGGAATCTGATGGTCCCATAAAATTTCCCAGTCAAAACTTCTTTTGTAATACAAGCTACCATACGATGACGTAACAAGTAATTGGAATATATATTGAACACATGAAATATACTCTGTCAGTCAAACTAAGTGATACATTCAATTATTTAAAAACACCTTACATTATGTACAAAGCAACATAGCGATTAGAAAATTTAAGTTATGCATTCAATCTTTTAAAAACACATTACACTAGGTACAAAGCAACATAGTGTACAAATATTTAAGTACCGTTTCACACAGATAAGACTGAGAATACGCAATAGCTCATTCTTTTAACACCAAGTAATGAAAAAAAAACGTAAATATGCTAAACAATCAATACACTAAATCCTGTTCTTAACTGTAGTGACGATGCCCACACGAAATGATGACAAGACAGAGAGATGAAATGTAATATTTGCCAATCTTCCGAATATTTATAAAACCCAGTTCAGAATTGACGTTTGATTTATAATGCAATTTTTCGCATACATTACAATTTCACATAAATATATTTCTTAGTCAACCATATTTGCTCCCTGGAAATTATGTATTTGAGGAAACTTGTACATATTCATCTCGTGTACACTAAAATTAAACTGAAAAATTATCTCAAACGTTGGAAAGATCAAAAGAACAAAAGAAATATTAAAGAACAATCACATTTTGTCTTATCAAAGTATTTAAAATTTCCCAGTTTCAAATATGTAGAGTGTATATTATTCTTCATTGCTCTAGTATATTACAAAATGATTGAAAACGCGTAGAAAAAATGAAAATCTGAACACCAAAAAGTAGCACCATATTTAGGAACATGAAACCACACATCTCATTCATCGAATAACTTACACAAATCATGATCATGCATCAATGAATCATGAAATAGAAACACATTTGTATTGGAAAATGGCTCTGATTCATCACAAATATGAAGATCACAAACAGTGATTAATCTCATAAATCCTGTAAACAAAACGAATCGTGAACAGGGCAAGAACACCGACCCCTGGAAACATCAGAGGTGGGATCAGGTGCCTAGGAGGAGTAAGGATCCTCTGGTTAGCGGTCGCACCCAACGTGAGCCCAATTTATTGATCAGGTATACGAAGTACTCCAACTTAGTATAAATGCAATGACCTAGCAAATGCACTCAAGCATTTCAGACAAAATACGACCCAACAATAGGTTGTCCTTACACACAAGGTCATTATAACGACATGAAATTCCATAAATAAAATTTCACATGGCATATACACTACCAAAAGAAAATAGACGATGCACAGAAAATCAAAATCAAGTTCATTTTAATTCTTAAAAACCCAATAATGTCAAATCTGTTTGATATAACAATTAACAACTTTTCAACTTGGAGATGAAAAAACATCAACGTTGATACTTAGCATAAAACTTCGTCATTAAGAGTTTTACAAACCCTTCTCCAGAACACCGGATCCCCATATTCATCGTTTGGAAATTCAATATACGACCTTTGATTGATAAGATCCATGACACTTAGAGGTATTTTATCCACAGGAACTTCTTCATAAAATATTAAAAAGATAATGCTTTCATTTTCTCGAGAATATATTTCTTCCATCTTTGCGATGTGTAGCTCATACATACACCAACTGGATTTGATGAAGTTTGGAGACAAAATAACGACTGTTTTTCTACTTTTGTTAACGGCAGTAATAATATTTTCGGAAATATCATATCCTGGAACAAAATCTCGATGGTGAATACATAAACATATCCCATTATTTTTTTCTAATTCCATAATCATTTTCTGAACAAATGGCAAATCTTCATCTGCATAGGAAACAAACACGTCATATTTGAAATCAGATTGACTATCACCTCTCACAGATTTATACCCATGATATCGGCTTTTGGTCATATAGTAGAAATAACGACGTTTCCATCTATATCTATACAACAACCCACTCAAGAGAATACACAAGAAAAGAATAAGGGTAATTGTCACGATGATAATCAAGTAAGTATAGGACTTGCATTCTTTTTCAAGTTTCTTAATATGTTCTTTAATTTTTGAAAACATTAATGGGCTGCTCTGGGAAGATACCGCACAGGAATAATTCACAAATGACTTAAAATCAATCCTCCCAGTTCTGTGGTTGTTGAACATCCATTTCAAAAATGACAATGCTTTACAATTACATAAAAGCGGGTTTCTTAAAAGATTTAAAGTTAAACAGACTTTATCTGCTTGTCGGTCAATGTCTTTCATATTTGTGTCAGAAAGAAACTGGATTTGATTTCCAGATAAATCAAGAAACTGTAATTTTCTTAAGTTAGCAAGATTAAAGACCACTCCACTAAGCACATTGTCTGCCAGATCCAAATCCTTTAGGTTTCGAAGGTCTTTAAAAACTTGACTTGGTAGATTTGAAATTCTGTTTGCTCTAAAGTCTAAGCGAATCAAGTTTGTAAGATTTGCAAATATTTGGCCATTCGTGTCCGCTAACAAACTAAATCCCAATAAGTTATCGCTCAAGTACAATTCTGAGAGATTATAAAAGAAAGGAAAAAATAATTTGGAGACTGTAGAGCAAAAATTGTTAGATAAGTTCAGTATTCGAAGTTTATCTCCTCCTCTTATAGGACCTATCCATGAAGTAAAGATATTGCCCTGCAAATATAACTCCTCGACACTGTTTTTGGAAAATCGTATGGCTGGTATCTGATACCGTGCTTTACTTTCGTTGTAAAAAATCATTTTTATATTTGGTGGTACTGAAATTTTAAATTCTTTATTCACACTGTTTGGTAAACATTTCTGTAAATGAGATCGTGTAAAATTTTCCCTGATTCTTTTTTTATATACCTTAAAGAACCTTGCCATTTTACCTGTCTGATGTATGCAATCATGCGAGTAATTAAGCGTGTTTGATAAATGTTTATTTTTATTTTTACACCTACACATTATGCTGTCGATCATTTTATTGGGCATATGGGAGAAATATTGTAAACTTGCGTTTATCCATTCCAAACCTTTCAATGCTGTAAGGTGTAAGACATATGGACCAAATGTCATCCTATTGTCAGCTATTGAAATTTTCTTTAGTGTTTTTGGAAGAAATTCCAAAGTTCCATTTTCTAATGATTCCATTCTGTTGCTTGAAACATGTATTTCTGTAAGGTTGGTATGTTTTAGATATCTAACATCGTCTTTTTTTAATTCTGTACTTAATCCAAATGTGCTGTGGATTTTATCCAAGGAAATGGAGATAATAGTGGAATTTTGAAGACCGTATGTCAAAATAGGCATGATTCGAAAAGTAAGTTCACGATTTTCCGATAAATCTATGTTTTTAATATTGATTAAATCTGAAAAAAGATTCAAACTTAAGTTTTCAGCTATCTGAAACTTATTAGAATTCAGTTTCAAAACTGTAAGTTTTCGCAATCCCTTGAATGAGTCGTCTTTAAATGCAATGATAGAATTGTGGGAAAGATCCAAATCCGTAACGTTGTCTGGAAGCATTAATTGTCCTATCTGGGAATTGTGTCAATCGGTTTTGGCTGAGATTAATTTTTGTTACATTTATCCAGAAATAGGGCGACCTTTCCAGACCCAGATTCGAACAGTCTGCGTGAATATTATTCAAAGAATAGGAACACCTACACCTTGGTTCAAATGGACAGTTATCCATATTTCCCCCGGACAGCATCAATATACTCAGAAGTGATAGTGCGCGACATCGAACAGCCATTTCCATCAAACTGAAATAAAATTTTTAAAAAAAGTGATACTGTAACTTTCGAATTTTCAACATACTTTTGCTTTATTGGTAAAAAAAAAAAATGCCATGACAAAGGTACGGAAATTTCATTTTTTTTTTTTTTTTTTTTTTTTTTTTTTTTTTTTTGTAAACGTAAATCAGATCTTAATTTCTTTGGAAGTGTGCAATCTTGTTGCATTTTAAAATGCATATTAATTATTAACTGATAGGTAATTATAATGCAAATAGAACAAATTCATTACTTTTAGTTTAATTTTTAGGAATGCAGCAGGATTTTTTTTTTTACTTTTTCACGACCTTGCAGCACAAATGAAAATGAAAAAGAAAAGTGTTTCATGACTGAAATGATTTCTCTATCCAATTACAAAATGTTAAATTTTCTGCTCATTATTTTTTTTCTTATTCTCTTTTCATAACGCAATGCCGTAGCTGGGAAGACATAGATGAAGTGTAATGAAACGATGTAGTTAAGCCATTGTAAGACATGCGCTGTAAATATGTTTTCTTACTCGTGCTATTTGATAACATGGAGCATTTACTTTATAACATCCTCGTAAAGGGGATGGGAGTTGAAAGCTTTGCTGCACCTTTTATATAACTTTTGATATTTTTAAGTATAAATAACAGTATTTAAATGTTGAAAATGTAATAAAAATTATTTTTCCTACACATAAAATAACAGGGTCATTGCAACACTTGTGTGTGTGTGTCCTAAATATTGGAGCAATTGTATGATTACATATAGCATTACAGTACTGAACCACCACTTCATCATCCTCTACTCTTTCGCAATTGGTTGGAGCCAAATTTTAACATTAACTCAAGGGCATAACACTCTTTTAAGAAAACAGTTGAAATTTTAAACTTCAAGAACTTCAAAGTGATCAGCATGCAATTTCATCAATTCATCGTTCAGTGTATCTAATGATTATAATATGATCTTCACCTAAAATCAGTATTAAATATTGTCAAATAATCAGTTATAGCCTGATAATCATTATGCTATCCCATCCGTCACTGATTTTATTCATTTGAAATAATACAATGAGTTAAAACCACTTAAGGACATACACAACGTACCTTACCTACTGATAATTTTTCAAGATATTCTTAAATTTAAGATTATAGTGCCGTCAGATATTCGTAGACAAAAAATCAGCATACATTACCAGGGGTTTTGAAAAGATATCATTTGGTGAAAATTTTTGAATAATTCAAAGAAAAAAATACAAAAACTACTTATCATATATTCCACCCCTACTAATGTGTTCGGAACCTTTTATTTTTCGGTGTTCTGCAAATTATAAAACTCGAGGAGTTCAGAGTAGCTCTGACAGTAGCTCTGGCGAGATTAAGTGAGACTGCAGCGAGATAAGGTAAATTATTCACGGAAATGTGGCTATGAAGTGACTTCCACGTGGAGACATGGTAAACAGAAAAGTTATCTTGCATTTCAGTTTTCACCACAGTATAATATCTGTAGAAATGTACTTCAGTCTCTTTTGAACTCATTCAAACTTCAATGAGTATTCCTTTTAAAATTATTTTCAGCTGCAGTTATGTATTATAATTTATTTTTGAACAAAAATACTTGCAAGGAAACTGGGACTTTTTTTTTTGGCGTCAGATTAGCAAATGAGGTACCAACATGGCTTAAACTGAAAAATCAGCTGAATGAGTTGAATTGCATTGTGGGCTACTACGGATACTATAGGAATTTTACGCTTGGGAAAAACCCAAATCTACAGGCGATCGGAAAGGCACAATGAACATTTTTTTTTCATGCATTTCGTAGATGAAAAGTAATTTGTCCATTTTTATTCTATTATTCCCATGCTCACAATTACAAACAATTCATTTGTTAAATAAACGTGGAATTCTAGCTTTTCTCAAAGTCAGACTAAGGCGATTTAATTGCGTCTGTATTCCTTTGTTGTACTATCGGTGAATACAATTTTCAGGTGGGTTCCCTGGCCAAAAACACGTGACCACGGGTGTTGTAATGTGAAAAAAAAATCTTTGCTGTCCATTTAACTGTTTAAATGCCTAAGAGATGCTGCTCGTTTTCCTTAACCTTGAAGTGCTGGTGTTCTGAACGTGATACAGACTACATATTATTATGTAATATTTCTAGTTAACAACGTAACGACAAATTGCAAACACCAGACTAGTGACATCTTTCATTGTTTCTCATCATTTATTTTTTTTTAAACAGTTTTTTTTTTAAATTGGTTTTTGCAGTGCATTTAATATCGATCTTAGATAGACCTGAACCACGTGTTCGAAGTAAAATGTAAACATGTAGTTGTCCAGTATACGTTGCTATTCATTCAACGATTGGTCAGTTGTTTGTGGTAAGATCCTCTGTGCGCATATATAACAATAGCCATATAAGGTAAACATATTTTTCATAGGACATGTTTTTAAAAGAAAAAGACTATAGCAATTTCCTGTTTACTGCCAATTTTGTTTATAAAACCGATTCTACCCTATAACCTTTGAATGGGTCAACATACACCACGTGTCCTGAATTTAAATCACAATAACATTAGTAGGGGTGTATTCTAGATGTTTTGTTTATCCAAACTTGTTTTAGAAGAAGGGTACAACAGCATATATAGACATTAATATGTAGCACACAGTTCCTTTAAGTATTGGAACTCTTCAACTCCAGAGAAAAAGACAATAAAGTTCAAACTACGTTGCCTATGTCCTTAATATTTTTTTGATAGTGAATTACACATATATTAGTTTGAAATGCATCTTGGTAAGTTTCTTGGCACTGTTTAAGGTATAAGAGATATAGGTGAACAAATTTGTATGACATACGTACGTCTAGACGGATAGACAGCATGACAGCTTTACTAACACATAATCAGCTAGCAGAAAAATAAGCAACAAGTAAGTATTCATACAAAGGAAAATATGTTTATGCATAGGAAAACAAATTTGAATGAATACTTACCAAAGCAAACTTTTAAAAACAATCAACCAAGTAATTTCTTTCTGCGCCTGCTTCCTGTTACATAGACACTTTCATACAACCATTAAAATAAATTGATGAGCTTTAGTTAGAAAGAAAATCTAAACAATCAAGAGACTCATTTGATAGACGATTTATCAGTTGTTGATTGGTTGAGAAAGTGGGCGAGGTCAAGAAGGATTTTTCTTTTTCTGAAAAAATCATTTCACATAACATTTACACTTCCTTATTCTGTATTTTAAAAAAATTGATATAATAGACGTGTATTATTCATAAACAAAACATACATGCACACGTTTGGTTAAAGGGAATTAATGTCATTAGACGTATATGGAACTTGAAAGTAAGATTTAAATATGCTTACACTGCTTTATTTGTATTTATTTCATGTCCCTTGATCAAGTGGACTAGAAATCCAAACTTCAGGCATAAATAAAAGTCTGCAACAAATCTGAGTTTTCTTTTATTCTTTATGTAACTGCTGCTCCATCACATCACACA